TCGAACCAAACACGCAATTACCGATCTCGTCCAGAATCGTTTGATAACCCGCTAGACCTGTAAGTGTAAGAGGGGGTGTCGATGAGAAAACCAGTTGTTTTTTTTAAGCAAGGTTTGTACTTTATTAATTCTGGGGAGGTTCGTTTACATCACGAGCTCCCAAAGTTGTTACAAACTTTAAGAGGGGATTGATCCAAACATGAGATCGACCCAATTCAAACCAACATGAGCAAGATCATGTGCACCCCTATTAGAAGATCATGGTACATGGACAATGTCAGCCCGACTAAAATTTAGAGATATAAGGAACTTAGCTTCTCTAAATAAGACACCATTAACAGAAAAATCATAAAAGCAGGACTGGTGAGCCTCTACTAGAATTGATGAATCGGTCTCCAAAAGGATCTGAGATATACTTTGGTCAATTGTTGCATAAAGAGCTGCAAGGCAAGCTTGGGCCTCTGCACTAAGAGCATCATGCACCACATTGATTCTACCTGCACCGGCCATCACAACAGCCCCTCTGTGATCTCTCACAATAAAGCCCCATGCACCTTTCTTTTCTCTTTGAGAGTAAGCTCCATCCATATTAATCTTCAAGATGTCTGCAGCAGAAGGAGACAAGCAAGAAATTCCACTTTGTTTCCTATTTGCCATCTCAAATGTATGAAGATTATCAAAAGATTTCATAGCCTGTACCTTGTACACTATCTCCTCAGTGGGCAAACTTTTTTCCCAGCATTTGCCTTGTTTCGTGCATCCCACCAAACCCAAAGAAAATCAATCACTAATAATTTTTTATCCTCTTCTAGAGAAAGAATTTTTATGGCAACCTGTTTTGCAGAGTTAAGGTCAATCAAAACCAGACGAAGCTGCTCCAAATTCAAAGCTCTCCAACATTTCTTGACAAATTTACATTTCAGAAAACAATGCCCACCATCTTCATTTAGCCGCCAACATACAGGGCACCGTGTATCAATGTTCATGCCTCGGCGAAAAATATTCATGCGTAGAGGAAGACTGTTATGAGATAGTGTCCAGAAGAAAAGTTTCACCTTCGGTTGGCATTGAAGCTCCCAAATTTTCTTCCAATTAAAGTTACAAGTGTGGTCTGAGATGGCACTATCTTCACCTACCTGCCTCCTTTGTGAGAGATCATTTTTATCTTTCAAAACGTGATATGCAGACTTGACTGAGAATTCTCCTTTTGAATCAAAATGCCAGGCCAAAGAATCCTCCATTCCGCTTTTCAACGGAATAGATAGAATGTATTTTGCATCTTCTTCCAAGAAAACATCATTTACCAAGCTTCTATCCCAATCACCAGACATCGGATCAATAAGATCAGAGAAATATCTAGCTCTCAGAACCTGAGCGCATAGAGAGTCTGGATTTAGAAGAAGACGCCAACCCTGTCTTGCGAGCATCGCTAAATTGAAAGATGTAGATCTCTATATCCCAAGCCACCATTTTCCTTTCTGCAGCATAGTAACTCGCAGGGTAACCAATGCATCTTATTTTCCTTGTCTTGCTGAGCCCACCAGAATCTACTTATCATATTGTTTTTGTCAGATCAAAACATGACATTGCATAGCTTGGAATGGCTTGTGCTACAGCCTTAATAAGAACACCCTTGCTAGCTTTCAATAATAGCTTCTCCTTCCACCCTTGTATTCTTATCCAAACCCTTTCCTTCAAATATTCAAAAGTTCTTCTTTTTGATCTCCCCATATAAGAGCGTGTTTAGTTCCCTGAATTTGGGAATTTGGGCTACTGTAGCACGTTCGTTTTTATTTGACAAATAGTGTTCAATCATAGACTAATTAGGCTCAAAACGTTCGTCTCGCAATTTCCAACCAAACTGTGCAATTAGTTTTTTTTTGTCTACATTTAATGCTCCATGCACGTATCGCAAGATTTGATGTGATGGGTACTGTAGCATTTTTTTGGATTTTGGGGTAGCAACTAAACACACGCTAAATTGGAAGTCCCAAATACTTTTCATTTCGTGCCTCTGAAGTGATACCCAAAGCTGCCATCAATTGGTTTTTCTCTGAACTTTTTGTATTCCTACTAAACATGACTGATGATTTATCCTTATTGATAGTTTGACCCGAGCAATCTTCGTACAAAGAAAGAATATTTTGCAGATGATATGCACTCCATTCATCAGTTTTCAGGAGTAGCAGAGAATCATCTGCAAACAAGAGATGATTTATACTCGGAGCATTTTGGCACACTTTAACACCAGTCAGCTCCCCTCTCCCTTCAGCTTCATGTAACAGGCATGAGAAAGCTTCAGCACACAGTAAGAAAAGGTAGGGAAACAGGAGATCACCTTGCCGGAGACCACGATGGGGACGATCTCCTGTGTTAATTGACCATTTACCTTGATGTGATAGGTAACTGTTGAGACACAGTTTAGAATAACCTGGACCCAACCTGCATTAAACCCCAGCTTGAGCAGCATTTTCTCCAAAAAAGACCATTCAACCTGTCATATGCTTTACTCATATCTAATTTCACAGCTGCATAGCCATCAGATCCCCCCTTTTTGGTTTGCATAAGATGTGCGAACTCATAAGCTAGTAGGACATTATCAGTAATAAGACGCCCTGGCTCAAAGGCACTTTGATTCAAAGAAATAATCTCAGGCAATATGACTTTCAGCCGGTTTGACAAAACTTTAGATGCAATTTTGTACACAACCGTACAGAGGCTGATCGGCCGCAGATCTTTAAATTTTCTGGATTTTGCACTTTGGGGATCAACACAATAATTGTTTCGTTCCATCCTTCTGGTATTGTGCCCCCATTTATCAGGTTCTTCACTTCCCTCACTACATCCTCCCCAACAATACTCCAGTACTGCTCGTAAAAGAGGGCTGGCATTCCATCCACCCCAGGAGCCTTTAAATCCCCCATATTATCAAGAGCTTGCTTAATCTCCTCTTCACTATATTCCTTCATTAAGTGGTGATTCATATCAGGCGTCACCTTCTGGTGAACCTGGTTTAGCAACTCCTCGAAACGAGCACCTGCATGGGATTCAAAAAGGGATTCGTACCTACAAGCTTCCAGGGTTCCAACTTGCTGGTCAAAATTCCGCCTTTTCTCTGGATTTTTCTCTTGCAGGAATCCAAAGAAATGCCAACGCACGGGCGGGCGGGTTTCTTCGTATCTTCGGGGGCCTTTTTGCAGCCTGAAATACATGGGCAGATTGGACCGCCTAGATTGAAGTTTGGGCTCTGGTTCATAACCATAGCAGCCCATCAAATTTGAAACCCACTAGGAACGTGGTGGGCTCTTACAGATTCATGCTCTGCCCGTGGATTGTTTGTCTTTTTGAAAATGAGCTGTGGATTTGTCAATTGCTACGAGGGATGGCCATGGCGATGATGACTGAGCTGGAGAAAACGGGGAAGAGGAAGACAATGCAGAGAAGGCAGTCGACCGACGACCGTGAACCGGATGGAGGCGGTAGACGAATAGACGACAGTATAGCGGCAAGCGGAAAGAACCCTATCGGGTGACGTAAATGCAGGCCGGCCGGCAACCTTCGACTCGAGCCCATCACGGCATCACGTGATGACAATAGTAGACAGCAGCAATAGCCAATAGCCAAAGCCCCTCGCTCGGCGCGCCATTACGGCTCGGGGCCCGTGTGCACGCGTTGAACTGAAACCCGTGTCGTGGCCCGCGTGACGCCGCCGCGGTTCCCGTCTGTCACACGCTTTGCTTCGCTTGCCGGGCGCCAGGGCCGCGCCCGCCCGCCCCGCTGCCTGTCTCCAGCTGTCCGCGCGCAGCCCTTCAGGCAAGGCTGCCGCCTGCCGGGACCGGACGTTAGTACTGCTATTTGTCGATCAATTGCCGAATGCTGAAATACTCGCGACTCGATCCGGGCTCGAGTATATGGCAGGTCTAGTTGCTTTGCAGCACTATATGATGGATCGTGCCACGACGCCCACTGGACGGCGACAGCCACGCACTGATCGAGCGAACAGCGCGTCGTTGTGTTCGAAAGAGCTAAGGAAAGCTACCACGAATAAGCAAAAAGGGTTTTCGTTAGCTTGCACGCACGCACACCAAGCGAGTGGGTAGAAACGAAACGGCAAAGTGCCCGCTTTCGGCAAAGCCGCGCGCATAGAGATGGTCACCCCGTCGCGTCGCCCTCCTCGTTTGGTCCGTCGTCTACCTTACCTTACCTTGCCTTGCAAGAGAATGGTCTCATCGGCATCGCTGCTCTCTCTCGGGGGCAAATAAAGTAGTATTTCCTCCGCAAATCTTTTGGCAAGCAGGCTCATCTATCTACCGTAGCTAAGCTAAACGGTCTGTAAGAAAATGGCTCGTCCGTGGTCTCCGTCGCCTTGCGTTCGGTGTCTTTCCGGCGCAACCAAATCTAGGGGCTTCCAGATTATGCATTGATGACAGGATGCCCAGGCTCTGGATGCCGGAAGGAACAAGGTGTCCTGTAGGTGGTGCCAAGCATTAGCATGGCTCACCGAATCCACTCAACATGCGTGACTGTAGTTGCATACTCGTCGGCATGTACAGTACCAGATGCAAACCGTTTGGGAGTTGGGACTGCCGGGGTAATGGCGTAATGCAAGTGTACAACCGTACAACACAACCTGGGCACTCTCGGAGAAAGAAAATACAGTATTTTGTTGAAGCAGCAGGCCAACGACTGACATTCTGAGACACATTTATTAACATTCTACCAGAGGGTTCAGTTAGGCCTTTGGCTATCTATGGAGTGTCGAATGGGGTGTCACCGTTCCGGCCGCCTCTCTCCCAGCAGCAAATCCCACTTCTCCCCAGCCCACAGCTCCAGCTCGCCTCTCTCCCTCGGTCCTTCCCTACCCCCGCGCCGCCGGAACATCGCGCTGTGCCCGCCGTCTCGCGAGGAGGCATCGACCGGCGCGGTGGCATTTAGGAGGGAGGAGGAAGGGGAGGTTGTAGCTTGTTGACAAGGGTCTTAGCTAGGCGGGGAGGGGCGAGATGAGCATGTACGGGAGGGACCCGTGGGGCGGGCCGCTGGAGATATGCCACCCCGACTCGGCCACGGACGACGACCGCAGCCGGAACCTGGACATCGACCGGGGCGCGCTGTCGCGGACGCTCGACGAGACGCAGCAGAGCTGGCTGCTGGCGGGGCCCGGGGACCAGGGCCGCAAGAAGAAGAAGTACGTCGACATCGGCTGCCTCGTCGTCAGCCGCAAGCTCTTCGTCTGGACGCTCGGGGTGCTCCTCGCCGCCGCCGTCTTCGCGGGGGTCGTCGCCGGGATCGCCAAGGCCATCCCCAGGCGCCACCGCCCGCCGCCGCCGCCCGACGACTACACCGTCGCGCTGCACAAGGCGCTCAGGTTCTTCAATGCACAGAGATGTGAGTAGTAGCTCTGTTTCTTTTGGGGTTTTGCTATTGCGTGGGTTGGAAAGATCGAAAAAAAAAGATTGCTTTTTTTAATGTGTCCGTGACGGCGCCGCTGTGTTAGAAATAGTGGGTTAGGGCATGTACAATCCCACAGATGGGGTCCTGTGTCTAAGCGCCTCGAATCTATCATACACACAGGTATAAAGACAGACCATACAACCCATAGACGAGAGTCCGTCTCTAATCTGTTTAATGCTTTGCATGTAGCTAGGATCAACTATAAATATTTTTTTTTACACCATTGTGTGGCTATTTGATAGAAAATGTATCAAGGATAAATAAGAGCAACATGATTACAATATTTTTTTACAAACCATCAATATAATAATTATGTTATATATAGTTGCAACACCTTTTGTCTAATTTTCTTTAACTGTGAAGAAATTTAACTGGGAAGCATTCAGGTAACTAGTAGATAACACTCAGATAACTAGTAGATAACAGGAAGATATATATCTGAAAACAGGAAGACACCTTCCAATTCCAAACCAAAGATCAGGGCTGCTTTCGAGAGTCTAAAATTCAGAACTGAAAATAGGATAACTGAAAAAAGGAAAACCTTGCTGACGGTTCAGAAGACTTGATCTGAGCCCTTGAGAGTCTATTCACTAGCAGCATTCGTGCGTCATGTCTACATTGCAACATTCAGTCATCAAAACAATTCTCTCACAATAAATCTGAATGGTACTGAAAGCCAAGGCAAATAGCACATCAACAGATACCCTATGCAGCCACTTTAAATCTGATTGTAGTCTGAACATCCAGCTTCTTATACAACTCTCTACTTTGTATTTTGAGCAGGTAGCTCTTCCGATTTCAGAACTGATAGCACCCTGCTGAACAAGGTATCCATGTAGCACTGCACATAATCTCGCTGAACAACCAAATAGTAATAATTAACAATAATGCAGATATGATGCAATTTGCATCTTCGCCGTACTGCATCTAAGCATTCTAATACAATAATTAAACAACAAGGTGCATAAGCCATACGCCCCATACCTGCTCCTCCCCAGTGAAGTCGATCGCATACAGGTCATGTTGCTCCCACCGCACCCAACGCAGCCGCTCCCGCCGCCGGCGTGCCCGGGCTCTTCCGCTCCAAGACCGACGCCGCCCCAATGCCATACCTGGGCTCTTCCGCCCCAAAAGCTGGTGAAGAGAAGGGTAGATTTGGCGTGTAGAATCCTTCTTGCGCGCGCCCTCAACTTCCTCTGCGGACGCGCCCGCACTGGATCTGTGGGCTCGTCGACTCAAGGAGCCCCTCCCGTACAACGCGTCTCCAGCGGTTGAGAGCGTCTTGGAGAACGCGCCCTCGCCGTCGACTCGTGAGGCGACGAGGAGAGCGTCGACTCGTGAGACCGGGGTTGTTTTCGCAAAATTCATGCGCTGGAGACGGCACCAGGAGACGCGTTGTACGTGCCCTTAAGGTCGTCTCAGCCGATTCGAGAAATCTATGTCTTGCTTTGAGAAATTTGTGTGCCAAAGATTGATTTCTAAGACATTTTTCCTTAATAGAATAGGGAATATCAGTTTTCTGTGCTGTTTCTTCTAGTTTGTGGATGGCAAAGTTTCAACATTTTTGGGATCTCTTCTAGTGATTTGCAACGCCGGTTCAAAAGACAGGATTTAAGGCGTTTTTAGATAGGTATATACCATACCAAGAGCCTCCAAGTTTTAGATGGTTAAGCTGCATTGTAAACAGTGATTTCTGAGTATAAAAGTCACATTTCGTTGACATCTTCGCTGTTCAAATTGCTGCAGCTGGGAAGCTTCCGAAACACAACAATATACCATGGCGTGGTAACTCTTGCATGAAGGACGGACTTTCTGACCCTGCAGTCCGGCGAAGCCAGGTTGGCGGGTACTATGATGCTGGGGACGCTGTCAAGTTCAATTTCCCAGCTGCCTTCTCCATGACCCTCCTCAGCTGGAGCGTCATTGAGTACAGTGCTAAGTACGATGCTGTCGGGGAACTTGGCCATGTCCGTGACATTATCAAGTGGGGATCAGACTACTTCTTGAAGACCTTTAATTCCACAGCCGATAGCATTGATCGTGTCATTGCGCAGGTAAAATTTTCATCTCAAATAGGATGTATTTGGAGTTGTGTTGTTGCCTGTTGCCACCAGGCCATTGCTAATCTGAATTATGGAGGGTGCAGGTGGGAAGTGCTGCAACTTCACCTGGTTCGACACAGCCCAATGATCATTATTGTTGGATGAGGCCAGAGGACATTGACTACCCACGTCCAGTGGTTGAGTGCCACGCTTGTTCAGATCTTGCTGCTGAAATGGCTGCAGCATTAGCTGCAGCATCGATTGTATTCAAGGACAATAAGGCTTACTCACAGAAGCTTGTACACGGTGCTACCACTCTGTTCCAGTTTGCAAGGGAGCGACGTGGGAGGTATAGTGCAGGTGGCTCAGATGCTGCAAAGTTCTACAATTCAACCAGTTACTGGGATGAGTTTGTGTGGGGTAGTTCATGGATGTACCTTGCAACTGGCAATTCATCATACTTGACTCTAGCCACACACCCTAAACTTGCAAAGCATGCTGGCGCTTTCTGGGGTGGACCAGATTATGGTGTGTTCAGCTGGGACAATAAGCTCACTGGTGCACAGGTAAATGTTTAATCTTAATTGCCTAATTAAATGTTAGACATTCCCTACGTTTGACCTACTGACATTTATTTGGTTGATGGTTGATACCTGGTACTTGCCTGCTGGCATTTACTTGGTTGATGGCTGATACCTGGTGCTTGTCTAGTACTCTCTCCGGTCCAGTTTATAAGGCACAGTTTGACATTATACGATCTCTCAAGTTACACTTTGACCATTCATTTATTTTATATTATGTTTATGATTATAAACTTATGATTGTTGGATAGTATATTTCATTACAAATATAGTTTTCATTATAATAGTTAAAAGTTGCTGGCCACTATTGGTCAAAGATTGCAAAATTTGAATCTTAATATGCGTGCGCGCCTTATAAACTGGACCGGAGGGGGTACTACATTTCATTATTATATATGCCTATAGATACCCTATCTATCGAGTCATTATTGTTATATAAGTACATCTACTTGCTCAGCTGTGGCAGGAATTTAGTGCCAAGTCAACTCCCTGTCATATTTAAGGTACTAACTATTGTTAAACTATAAGCATGTTTCCAATTACAGATCATGGGGCTCATGGTTTGTTTTATATTTTAAGGGTGATGTGGGCACATTTTCAATGTTGTCCAGTCTTGTTCCATAGTATAGGAATGTATCAACCTGAAAATATAACTGCTAGGAAACTCCTTCAGCATGAAATTGTTTTCACTCTTAAAATAGCAATCAAACCATGAGCCCCATATTGTCCAGTCTTGTTCAGCATGAAACCTTTATTTCAGTCAATTTGATTAAGGAAGCCTCAGAAACTCCATTTTGTGCCTACTAACTATCTTCTGCAGTCAAGGCTAATGCTTTGAACTTTGATACCATCTTTAACACCTTAATGTTCCAGAGTTCACTCAAAAGTCCCAACCCCGATGTGGTACGGGCCTACATGTGTCGCACCCTTTGGTTTTTGCCTCCTGTCACCCAAGGCCAAAGGAGTCAATTAGATCTGAACCAGTCTCTTTAATAAAAAATAGAGAGAGTAGCATTTTGTTTACTGTTTGGTGAATAATAACTTGTGACATATTTGTCTTACAGTACTTATTCTTTTATTTATCTTACATTCTAGGTTCTTCTAAGCCGGTTGAGGCTTTTCTTGAGTCCTGGATATCCATATGAGGAGATGTTGAGGACATTCCACAACCAAACTAGCATTATCATGTGTTCCTACCTTCCAATCTTTAAATCTTTCAACAGAACAAGAGGTGATTTAGGCATCCACTCGGTATATTATACTATCACTGCTGCTTTATTAGAACAGTTTACTGAATTTTCTTTCATTACAGGTGGTTTGATTCAGTTAAATCACGGGAAGCCACAACCCCTTCAGTATGTGGTCAACGCTGCATTCCTTGCTTCTGTGTTCAGTGACTATCTTGAGGCTGCGGATACTCCTGGGTGGTATTGTGGCCCCCATTTCTACTCTATTGAGGTTCTTCGCAGTTTTGCAAGGACTCAGGTAGGCTGCCAGCATTTTAATACCACAGTGTTGTTCCAGCAGTGGTTAACTTCTGATACTAACCAGTTACTTCCATTAGATTGAGTACATCTTGGGAAAGAATCCTTTGAAGATGAGCTATGTGGTTGGGTTCGGAAACCATTACCCCAAGCATGTTCACCACCGGGGCGCCTCGATCCCTAAGAATGGTGTTCACTATGGTTGCAAAGGAGGGTGGAAATGGAGGGACACCAAGAAGCCAAACCCTAATATCATAGTAGGGGCCATGGTTGCTGGCCCTGATCGCCATGACGGGTTCAAAGATGTCCGCAAGAATTTTAACTACACTGAAGCAACGCTGGCGGGCAATGCTGGTCTAGTTGCAGCATTGGTAGCTTTGTCGGGTGAAGGCCACGGGGTGGACAAGAACGCTATGTTCTCTGCAGTACCGCCCATGTTCCCTTCGCCTCCGCCGCCACCTGCCCCATGGAAACCATGATGGCCGTGGGTATCTGATTCTTTTGTATACTGCGTATTTAGATTAGTGTTCCTCTCGCCTTACTACTACTACCATCACTATCGTGGAGATCTAACAAGATGTAGCATCGATCTTTTCTTGTTTCTTTTATTGTTGTATATTTGTCGTGCAATGTAAGGACTATCAGCCTGTTAGGTCGTTCAGCCAGGGTTTATCAGCCATGGTATAGTATTTTTCTCTCACAGCAAACCAGCACCAGTCGTGCTTATTAGTCTAAACCAACCAGCGAACAGGTTGTATGTTGTGTATGAACCTTGGTTCTATTTCAGTAACTGATTCCCTGGGGATTTGTGGTAATTAAGCCCATTTCTGTGTTTCTGTGAATAAGTGGAATTCGAAAATTTCAGCTGCAGTGTATTGACTGTATATATAGGAATGTTTCGTTGCAGGTCCAATTTTGTCAGCATTTGTCTGAGGTGGTTATGCCTGGGTTGGGTTAATTGCTACTGTTGGTATCATACGTCATAATCCACTGATGACAGTGGCAAATTCCTATATCATAAGCACGCTTTCGTTAAAAAATGTCTTGCAACAATTTGCACTACAAGATACGTACTATGGGTTGGACATTTGAAAGAAAATGAGGTAGACATCCAAAGGCCCATATGAGCGCTCTGTTCTGTAGTACTATTTTAACAGTATTTTTCAGCATATAAATATTGTTTTTCTATCATAATAAATCAGGTATTGTTTAGTTCATTCTTCTAAAGTTTACTTCCTATCCCATCGAATGTTTGATATATGCATATAGTATTAAATATAAACTAAAAAAATAACTAATTGTACAGTTGCGACTAATTTGCGAGACGAATCTTTTAAGCCTAATTATGCCATGATTTGACAATGTGGTGCTACAGTATACATATGCTAATGACGGATTAATTAGGCTTAATAAATTTGTCTCGCGGGTTACTGACTGATTTTGTAATTTGTTTTTTTATTAGTATCCGAACACCCCATGCGACACCCTATGTGACACCCTAAAACTTTACACCCTGGATTTAAATAAGCCCTGAAGTATAAGCATCAGCATAAGCCAAATTTCAGCGAAGCGAATGGGAGTATTTTTTGACCAGACCCACATAAACAATTTTTTTGACCGACCCCACACTAACAACTTGCGAGTTTAGGCAGCTTCTGCAGAACCAACAACCCCACTCAATTCCAGCGACTGTTTAGTTTCTAAAATTTTGTAATTTTTTTAAGATTTTCTGTCACATCGAATCTTTGGACGCATATATGAAGCATTAAATATAAATAAAAAATAAAACTAATTACACAGTTTAGATGAAATTCACGAGACGAATTTTTTAAGCCTAATTAGACTATGATTGGACACTAATTACCAAATAACAATGAAAGTGTTACAGTACTATTTCCCAAAAAATTTCGCCAAGTAAACCAGGCCCCACTCTACGGCAAGCACTGAGAGTGGTTTTGCATAAATAAATGGTTACAAATAAAGGCCCTGTTCGGCTTGCTGAACTTGTCTGAATTGGCTGAAAAACACTGTTCTGCCTGAATTGTCCTGAGAGAAAAATACCGTTCCGACTAAAAAAATCAGTTAAATAGTACGGATTATAAGGTAAATCAAACGGGGCCAAGATAAACCTAATCTTCAAACTTTAAAAATGGCTGCTGGTTTCCGCCATCATTTCAGATTCCTATTTGAATGTTTTATTATTATTATAGAAACTTGTACTACACAAGTGCCGTAGTTTTGGCCGTTTCCACCTGATATTTTAGCAGTGTTTACTTCCAGTACAAAATCAAGAATCTCCGCCTCTGTGGCTCTGCTCGCTCGCTTGGAATACCATGAAGTAAACCGCGCCAAGAAGAATTTGGTCTCCAGGTGCGTGTCTGCTCCCTCCAAGGCTCCAACCTCTTCTGTCTACAGTTTCACTCCCTTCCCATATCATCAGGATTCCGTGCGGTACCTTAACCATATGAACTGTCGGGAATAGTGAAAAGGCTTATCCTCTTTAAGGATTCCCCCCTCTTGAGCGACCTTCAGCTCACGATTTGTCGATTCCATCAGGTTCTTTGTGCTGATTTTGCTTGGTTGGAGTTGCTGCAAGTTTCAAGTTGAAACGAGCGAAGGAGAGAATGGAGGAGAGTTTTGACATCCTGCTTGCGTTCTTGGCGCTCGCTTTTTTCTTTTTTTTTTTTTTTGAAACGGAAGCTTTTATTAAACCAAAGAGCGGTACATCGAGCTGACACACAGACTTTGGAACACTCCCAGCCTCTTGGCGCTCGCTGTGGAAGCATTTTTGTAGTGGAAAGTGCTCCCCGTTTTTATTTGTTTCATTCATCGGCAGAATAGATAGGTACTGATGCTGCGCAATTTAGTTCCATTTATCATTGCGAGACCCACTATGAAGCCTACCATGGGTGGTGTTCCAGATGAATGCATTGGGGCTTGTATGAAATGCATGAAATGGAAAAAGAAAGAACACGGATAAGAACTCTGGGATTATATATGAATACCAATGCAATCCTACAACATGAATACATAAAGGATTAACCATTCGAGAAAGTTGTTTGCAAGAATGTTCATTCAAGACAGTACAATTTTTCACCCATTTTTCCTCGTTTTTTCCATGGGCTAAGCCATATCATTGCATAGTTGTATTTTGTGTGGACTGTCGGTCTTATTCTATATTGAGTACTGTTCTATATTATAGTTGAGATTTTATTCTTCCAAAATAATAGGCATTGTTTTGTTTAGAACAAAGATCAACCATCAGTTTTAGAAAAAAATAATTGATGTTTCTTTTGGAATGTCAGTTTCCAGAGATGACAACCAAATATGTTACCACACTGTTATATGGCTGATGGATTTGTCGGGTGAGTAACGAGAGATTTTTTTTTTTTTAGATAAGGGAACAAAGTTCCAGCCTCTACCATCCGGGAATGGTACACAGCTGAGGAACGAGAGATAATAGGGTAAACAAACTCTCCCTGCAGGGAGGCTCTGAGTTATTTAGGTTTCAATAGTTTTTTACTTTAATCATCCAAGGCTAGGCACTATGTAGCTGGCTGCCCAGAAAAAATACAGATATCTAACCAAACTAGGACGATTGGCGCGCCACGCCATGCTTGTAGATTTTGTGTGCCTCACTTTGTATAGCCGGATATGGTTTGTGTTATAAGAATACATGAAATCGGGATATACAGAATCTATACATCTCTAATACTTGCCAAAAAGGGTCCACAACACTTTGAGCATCACATATGCTAACATATTCTATGAGGTACAAGAAAATGCACATGAACTCGAATGAGAATTAGCACTGATGCATTGTTCAATCACCTCTTAAATGATGATCTAGTCAAACATCTAGACTAATTTGTTGCAGTGTGTTAAGTTAATGGGTGTAAATACATTCACTAAAAACAGGTGAAGAATATCAAAACTAGTATTAGTTGTTTAATTGATGCTTGTTTTTTGGGGACTAGATAACACTTTTCAGTATAACATCTATCTGAGATGTGCTAAATTTATATATATGTCTGCAAAATGTTGTCCAATTTACATATTTCTATCCAGTTAAGCATTAAGTATTAAAATACACGAGCATGTTAAAGTTATCAGTGACCTTTGAAAAGTTAGCCTAATACCAAGATATGACACTGACATAGTAACATATATCAGGTACTCATTGCGTGAGACTATTTGAATCTAGAATGAGCATCTCAAGAAGCAGCATCATTGGCCATATGACATCCAAGGTTTGGAGCAATATGATTTCCTCTTTGCTTCTTATATCTTCATTCTCTTGCTTTCTCAGTATATCAATATCGTATTTTCTACTTTTAGGAAGTCATGGATTCAGATTCACCAGATCAAGTTTGTAAGATTCCTCTACTGCAAGAAGGCAGCTCACGAGAGGTTAATATAACTCCCTGTATCTATGACCTGTGGGATGAAACCCTTGTACTTCAGTCTCCAGGCAGGCCTGATCTCCCAAAGCTAGGTGGAGACCGCTGCCTAGAACACCCACCCAAATTTCACATTGAAAATAAACAAGTAAATGAATAAACCGCTTAAGAAATGGCTACAGGATTGTAGGTAAACAGGCATATGTGCAAATGCATGTTGAAGACGTTCATTTATTTGTGCACATGAATGAATATATTGTATCTACCTGCTAATTAATGTCATCATACATAAGCACATCCACATTTTCAACATCGTATGCGATTTGGATTCTTGATACTATCAACTATTATGGTACTTTGTCTGCAAAACGGTAACATACATGCTTTCTGTGTTCTAACAACCTAATAATCTTCTACGCTTAGTTTTCTTAAGTATGACCCCTTTTAAATATTTTACTATATATATTAAATACTTAATGGAAATTATCTCTGAAGGGTGGGCCTGGTGCAAGCGGTAGAGTCTTACCGTCTGTGACCGGAAGGTCTCGGGTTCGAGTCGCGGTCTCCTCGCATTGCACAGGCGAGGGTAAGGCTTGCCACTGACACCCTTCCCCAGACCCCACACAGAGCGGGAGCTCTCTGCACTGGGTACGCCCCCTTTTTTTTAATGGAAATTATCTCTCTTCATCCACATTTAAGTTAAATGCATACCTCATTTCCCACTTAATCTAGTTCTATTTTTATTGCATCAAGAAATGTGAAAAAATAAAATGTATTTTTCTTGTTTGGTGTTTTGGTACTATTTAGCACCATGTTGTTCAAGTTCAAAGTATGGTGAAGAGAAGTTCAATAGGATTGTTACTAACTCTCTAGATATAGCTAAATTCGTCTGACTTAAATCTTGAGTTAGTATAAGCATACGTGTGTGGTGGATGAAAAATAAGATAAATCAAAGCTTTAGAAGCTTGTCTTTGTTTCTGGTTAAAAAGCATGGAAGGTGGACTAACTGCTAAGTTCATATGGTTCATGCGTATTTGTATACTTACTTTTCTAGTTTTGTAAACTCATGTTTGTCTTCTTGATGTAGTGATACACACCTCTCCTATAAGAAAATAAAATAGTTGATACATTATATTTAACAATCTCTCTCAGTTTTTGTTACTTTGTTCTTGGATATTAGAAGGTACAATCATTTGCAAACATAAATGTACATTCTTTCTGAAAGAAGGAGATATTGCGCGGAATTGCATGATGGATTGATTCAGAGAAGGGGAGCTTTACATAGGTGAGGGTGAGGAGATCTTGTGGTTCATAGAAGTAACACCAGTCAAGATCTCCTACAATCTCTCTGCACCTCTACTCTCTCTGAGATCTCCTCCCATCTCTCTACTCCTCTCATCTCTCTGACTAAAACAACCAGGGCCGGCTGGCTAAACAGCCTAGCGCGGGACCCATACACACGCATGACATACTACTGTCTAACACTTTCTCTATCTAAACATTTGTGGAAAAATTATGCTACTATATGGGTGAGACTGTCATCTTGGGTGATGACTTCCCCATTTCGTTCTTGAATATTCCATGTTCAGTTTAAAAATCAAACCTGCATTTAGCATATACTTTTTGTCTTTCCCAGCTGATTGTTATTTCTATCTATGGAATACAGAGTACCATAGAATATACGGGTGATGGATCTATTTGTATCTTTGGACATCCGGCTTCCAAAAATCATACAGGAAACTGGAAGGCTTCCTCCTTAAGCTTAGGCAAGTATAGAAAAAATGCTATGGTACAGTCAACCTTTGTTTTTGTAAACCAAAGTAGGGGCGTGAAATGGTCAAATTGTGTTGAATTGTTATGTTAGTAATTTTCAGAGTTTTGTATTCAAATAGACATCTAATACATAGTGAAACATTGTTGCAGTTTGTTTGTTCTGCTCGTATCTGGCATTTTCTTTACTTACAAAAAACCTAGTGAGTTATCTCACAAAAGTCTTACATGAAACAAATGTTGCTGCTGCAAGAAATGTTTCAACATGGCATGGTACTAGCTATCTCGCACCTCTGGTTGGAGCCTTCATAGCTGATTCATATCTTGGAAAGTACTGGACTTCCCTAATCTTCTGCACAATCTTCATTACTGTAAGTGTTATTCGACCCACACTATATTGCTTTAACTGGTAAGATTACTATAAGTATGTAATTTTCAAGAAGAGAACTCTTCTCTCTTGAAACAAATACTATATATAAGAGGAGATCCTAACTATATGTGGAATATTTCGGATGAGATAACTATTTGTAGAATATAGTGGCAGTTACTTTAATGGAAAGACAATATAGAGACCGTAGATGCGCCAGAGTTGAATTTTGACTATGCTTGCTCTTCTGTATTAGATGAGCATTGAACATTTGAGCTCAAGTTTTTACCTTGTTTCTTTTATTTCTTGTCCACAACCCCCCCCCATTTTGTTGATTCAGGGAATGGTGATGTTGATTGTGGGCAGTTCCGTTAATCTCAACTCGTTCCCTTGTTTGGCTTGCTTGGACAGATACAATATCATTTCAGTACATCATAGATTTTGTCGGTTTGTACATGGTTGCTTTAGGGTATGGTGCACAGAACCCTTGCATTACATCCTTTGGTGCTGATTAGTTTGATCATACTGATGAAGAGGAGAGAAATAAAAAGAGTTCTTTCTTTAATTGGTGCTATTTCATAATCAATGCTGGTTCGTTGATCTCGGGGACTATTATTGTGTGGGTACAAGATCATGAGGGATGGCTCTGGGGTTTTACCATTGCTGCGCTATTTGTGGCTTTAGGTGCAGTTATATTTCTTTCGGGATCTACTTTATATAGATTTCAGAAGATTGGAGGAAGCCCTATGGCAAGTTTATGCCAGGTTATTGTGGCAGCTACATGCAACTTCAACAAAGACTTGCCATGTGATTCTTCGCTTCTTTATGAGGTTCTAGAGCAACATTCCTCAACTGAACGAAGCAGGAAATTGGAGCATACAACTGGACTTGAGTAGAACTCTACTCTTACATTTTATTCCGTACAATTATATTAACTAGTTCATCAACCTATACTCCTTCACAAACTAATAATTCTTTAACGTACAAGTGTTTGAAATTCATGGATAAATATGAAGCCAACAACATTGCTTATCTTTGCTCTCTTGTTTCATTTTGTTCACATTATAACATCTATGACAAATTGACAATACACATATAAATAATTTCTTATATTTATCTAGTTGTGATATAATCTAGTTCCAAACTATCATATATGTTTATGCTTTTCACCTTTGAATTGCACCTCCATGTGTGTTCGGCATGGGTATCAATAATGCTCATTGTTTCCTACATACATATATACCTGGTCTCTCTCATTACACACATGCATATATACCTTGAGTTAGTTTCTTTATATTAACAATACCATATGAGTGGTTTAGAAGCATATTTATAGTACCTTGGGATTATCTTAATGTAAAAGGAGGTAGGTACTCCATCCGTCAAGGAAAGAATGCAACTATGGGAACCGTGCCAGTCAAACTGGCTCAAGTTTGACTAAATTTTTAGTAAATAGTATTAGCATTTATGTTTCCAAATAAAATTATTATGAAAATATATTGTATAACTAATCTAATGGTATTTATTTTGTCCCATGAGTATTATTAGTTTTTTATATAATTTTAGTCAAACTTCAAACTGTTTGACTCCTCAAAATGTGAGAATTGCGTTTTTTTTTTGACGGAGGGAGTAGTTTAGATGTAGATTTGGGGTTTTTTATGTTATTTTTAATAATGACAAAAGTTGGGTAATTGATATACAAATTTAGAGGGCTACTTTAGATCATTTTCATAATAGCATAGGTGGAAAATCTACTATGACATCCTAGAATGACACCAAAGTTTTATTTACCACATTTGAATACTGCATCTGATTAAGCCGCCGAGGGTGTTTGCCCTTAGGGGGTGAATGTAATACTTTAACCTATTAGTAACTTGTAGTTGGCCCATGTGGCCATATGTAGTTGGTGGGTTTAGTACCACATTGGCACATTTGAAATTTGTGAGGGCGATGACTAGCCTATAATCCTTGTCGTTCTAAATGTAGCACATACAGGCTAACCTTTACACGAAGTGAGAACAAAAGTAATAGTCTAATAGAGGTGTTACGAGTATTCCATGTGAGGATCTGAACTGTAAACATATTTTGGATATATGGTATTACATATGGTATTAGAGAATCAACTATCGTTGCATCTGCGCATGTTGCATTGTGCCTTGTAAATAAAAAGGGTATAGCGTGCACTCTTACATTGCTCGTGGAGGAGGTAAGAGTGGCACAGTCGTAGGCGTCTGCAATGTAGTGGGGTGAACTACTAAGGGTGTTAACCCTTAAAACAGGTGAATGCTACTAAGGGTGTTAACCCTTAAAACAGGTGAATGTAGTACTCGGCCCATTAATGGCATGTAGTAGTTTGCCCATATGGTCCATGTGTAGTTGTGGTTAGTGTTTTGTACCACCTTAAAAGTTTAGGATGATGATGGCCAACTTATATATTATAATCTTTGTCGTTCCAAACGTATCACCTCTAGTTTAACATTTTTACAAAAAGCGAGAACAAAAGTATAAGAAATGTGTTATGCGTCTGTGTGCTAGTTCCACGTGGGGAACTGAACCATAAGCAGATTTTGAACATGGAGTATTATACTTAAATGCAAATTTAGGGGCTCTTTTATGTTATATTTTAAATCACTGTCATTTTAGGTTATTTTAAATCACATGGCAATTATTAGTTTGTATATGATTTTACTTTAGATTATTTCCATAACTATACACTTGGTGTAATTTAGGTATAGATTAGAGGATATTTAGATTAATAGTTTAGGTGGGTAATTTAGATATAACTTTAGGGGTGTTTTTTTAATAAAATAGAATTGATCCAATGGCTATATTATCAATGATGATTAGAGTTTACTAAACTGAAATGATTATGATTTTGTGAAAATCTAGAATTTATCTTTTTTTAGCATATCCTGTGAGAATTAATATGGAGGCTCCAAAAGAAATGTCTAGTTAGTCACCTCTATTATTATTGAAAATAATCTTAATAATATGGAGTATATTTAGATTGTTTTTAATAATAGTAGAGATACATTTACTTATGTTGCAACTCTGTATAAATTTAGTTTATAGTTCATTTATTTATTAACTATATATGACCATTTGAGATTATTCTAAACATGTATTTGAAACCCTACAAGCAAAAGAATTGTTGTGCATGTTGAAATTCTAGAATTGATAGTTGATGTGTTGAAAATATAAAAAAATATTTAACTCAATTTTTTTAGACGACATTTGACTCAACTGTGATGCTTGTTGTGCTTCTGCGGTTAAATTTCGTCCATAGAAAGCCCTCAAGAAGCTATCCAATCAACTTATGCCATATTTCTCAAAGCAGTACTCTTTTTTCTCTCGCAGGTTTTTTGACAAAGCTGCGATTGTAAATCAATCTGACTGTGAATCTGTTGACATGCTTAATACATGGAGAATCTGTACCGTGACTCAAGTGGAAGAGCTCAAGATCCTGATTAGAATGCTACTTACCTATCTGGGCCACGATGATGCTGTTTTCGACAGTCCTAGAACAGATGTACTCAACATTTGTAGAACAAGGCATGGTAATGGACAAACACATCGGCTCTTTTGAAATACCAGCAGCGTCCTTCCAATGCGTAGATGTCATCACTGTCCTTGTTCTTGTTCCAGTCTATGAAAGAATCCTAGTTCCAGTATTCAGAAGATTTACTGGCATGGCGTATGGCATCACGCCACTGCAGCGGATGGGGATCAGTTTTATTTCTATCCATGCTCTCGATGGTGTCAGCAGCATTGGTGGAGAGCAATCGCTTACAGATTGCTCATGCCGAAGGTTTGGTGCACGGTGAGGTCGCTGTTCCGATGAGCATCCTGTGGCAAGGACCCCAGTACTTTCTGATAGGTGCCGGCGAGGTGTTCTCCATTGGGTTGCAAGAGTTCTTTTACGAGGAATCACCAGACGCCATGAGAAGCATTTGTCTGGCATTCTCATTTGCTAACGATTCAGCTGGATATTACCTGAGCTCATTCATTGTTTCTCTTGTGCCTGTGTTCACCGCCAGAGGAGGCGGCAGTCCAGGATGGATCCCTGATAACTTGAACGAAGGGCACTTGGATCGGTTTTACTGGATGATGGCTGGGCTCAGTTTCCTCAATCTGCTAGCCTTTATCTTCTGTGCAATGAGGTACAAGAGTAAAAAGTTTTCCTGAGATATGTAGTGGTAATGTCGACTTTTATTGTATTATATGGTTTCTAAAGGGTTTGGTTTACTCGCATCTGACATGCAGTGGTAATGTCGACTTTTATTGTATTATATGGATTGCATACCAACGTTGCATGTATGTTTGGCATTGCACATTATCGACATCAAGCTTTAGAACTCTGCGTTTCTGTGAAAGCATGTGTGATTTTCGTCATCATTTTCCCCTCAGTTATGGCGTGCTATATAGTTTCGTTGCACACGTGAGAAATGCACTCAGAAATCATTTTATCTTCCAATTTCTGCAATCTGAAACAGATGCTTTACATTTTCCAGGCAGCATTTTCCGGCGCTGCCGCGCTGGGGGAAGCCCAGATGTCTAGTTGCTTGTTTTTTCAAAGAAATAGGAGGGAAAAGTCTACTTTGCCTCTCTCGACCATCGCGGAAGTCAGTTTTTCCTCCCTGAACTGAAAAATCAGACATAATTTCTCCCCCATCTTTTCAAACTGGACATATGACCTCCCCGGCTGTTTTGTAGGTGTTTTTTCTCCTTTTTTATATTTATTTCGGCTGAATCTTTGAAAAATCATAGTAAATTACAGAAAAAATAGAAAATCTAATTTTGTTGGACTCCGTATGAGTATATCTACACATTAAATATATGATATGGTATGCTTGAGTACAAAATTTTTGCTCTAGCTTTAGATCTATATTTTTCTGTGATTAATTTATAGTTGTAGTTTTTGTGGTCCTATTGTGGTGAAATTTTTATGGTGGACTATTCATTGTATGTTTGAGATGAATTAAAATTTTCATGCTCATTGAATCATATATGACGGAGTTATAGATTTATTCAGGTTAATGCTTATTAAATAGTTAAAAGTGTGTAAAAATAGAAAATATGTGTTCTCTATGTAATATTACTATTCTGATATCGTACGAACACTTAACATAATTATATTGTCACAGAGAAAATTACACAGAGAACATACATTTTCTATTTTTACACACTTAATTATTTTAAACTATTTAATAAGCATAAACCTGAATAAGTCTATAACTCAGACATACATAATCCAATGAGCATGAAATTTTTACTATATCTCAAGCATACAATGATTAGTTCACCATAAAAATTTTACCACAATAGAGCCACATAAACTGCAACTATGAATTGATCATAGAAAAGCATAGATTTAAAGCCAGAGAATTTTTTTACTAAAGCATACCATATCATATATTTAGTGTGTAGATCTACTCATGTGAAGTCTAATAAAATTGGATTTTTCATTTTATGATTTTTCTGTAATTTATTATGATTTTCAAAGATTCAGCCAAAATAAATATAAAAGAAAAAGAGAAAAACCACCTAGAGAAACAGCCAGGGGTCATATGTCCGGTTTAAAAAGATGAGGGGGGAGTTATGCCCGGTTTTCTAGTTCAGAGAGAAAAGGCTGACTTTTGCTATAGTTAAGAGAGGGAAAGTAGACTTTTTCTAAATAGGAGTCATAACAAGTTAGTTGTTCGCTGGGTTTATGTTTGCCATGACTCGGGCTAACAAAAGGGCTCTCGACTCGCCTCTGTTCGCTTGATTGTTTATGTGGCTTATAAACCGGCTGATACTGTTTTATTGTGAGAGAAAAATACTATATCACATGTCGGGTTCACAAACCCGGGGTCCCTCAGGGACCGGCTTCCACGCCAGGGCTCGGCCCAGGAAAGCAGCATGTTGTTCATGGGCCGGCCCGAAGGTCTAAAAATACGACGGGTCGGAAGGACGGTCCGGTCGTCGACTGGAAGGTCTGCCCGAAAGAACGAACACCCACTCATCAACCTCTTCGTGACCTCCGACCGGAGCGCTCACCTCGGGCACCAGCCGCCTCTGGACGGTCTCTCCGATCGGAAGGTCTGGCCCAAAACGCTACTTCCTACTCCGACCCCGCGACTCCGACCGGGGACCCATAGGAAGCCTGCGTGCCGCTCTTCTCCGACTGGCGTGGCCAGGGCCGACTGGAGCCATCCGACCAGGGATGCCTGCTCGAAAGGGACCAGGGGCGAACGGAGAAGGCAGCTCACTAAGTCAAACCACGATACCGGGAACCATACCCTGTACGCCTGCGGAAACAATGCTCCATGACCGTCCTGACACAAGCAGTATTGTAGGCGCCGTTGGACTCCCATACGGCAAAAAGCCCCCCACATGCCTCTGGGCATCGGTAGTGGGCGTCAGGATTCACCATACCTAGTACGCGTGGTAGGGCTCCTCACACACCAATAATATTTTGCAGGTACCAACATCCACCCTTCCTAAAGAAGACACCGCAACCTCCCATGTGCACCTGACATTCTACAGTGATGTCAACAGTATTGTGGGCGCCTACCATCATCGCTATCCTCGTCGGCATGGGCAACAAGGCTTAGAAACATCCGTACTCTCTCCTCTCTCATGTAAAGCCATCCCCTTTATCTATAAAAGGGGATGGGCTCCCTCCAACGGAGGACCACTTCTTCAAGTTCAGACTCACTAGATCGATAGCTCACGAAACCCCTCAAGCACACGCTTGAACACCTAGCTCATAGCGGAGTTCCAGTTGTCCTCGGCCCTCCCGGTCGGACCCGACCGGGTCTTTCGCATGCCCCTCCTTTCTCCTTCTCGTTTGTAACCCCACTACAGACTTCGAGCACCTGGGATCAGGAATAAAGTCAGCGACCGACCCAGACTGGACGTAGGGCACGTTGCCCAAACCAGTATATATCCTGTGTCATTGAGTGCTAGGCCACCTCCGATCACAAAGTACAGCAAAACTACAAATATTCACTAGTTGGTCACTTTCTGTACCGACAGTTGGCGCCGTCCGTGGGGAAGACGTTGTACGTTCAACACTTTCTGGTCATCGGATGGCCCATTTTTCCGCCACCCCCACCATGGCGGGCTCGGGTGATACGATTCGCCTCGGCTCACTGAAGTATCCCGCACTCTCGCTTGCGGGGATGCGGGTTCCACTCGTTTTCAAGCCATCCCAGGCCTTCCTCTTCGGAAGCCTGGACTTCATCGCCGACCGGCTCGGCGTACTCCACCTCCGCGAGGAGACTCGTGACCCTCCCGTCAGAGAGACGTTCTCCATCGACTCCGGGACGCGCGACCTCAACGGCGCGGCATCTGCGCTTCATTCCGAGCAAACTCTCTGCTCAAACCCTGCTGTGAGTAATATACATGCCGTTCTTTACTTACTACATTTTATCTTTCGCCAAACACCCGGAGGGCTACTGTTGTCCCCGTCGTGGCCACCGTACGGCCGGTTCCCCTATGGCCTCGTGTCTCCCGTGGACGTGTATGCCCGGGGGCTCCAAAAGATTATGTCGCCGCCTCCTCTCACGTCTGAGTTTGTGGGGATGGTGAGCTACGGCCCCACCGGTTTCCTCGACATCATGGATGATGACGTCGGGAGTGACGGCTCTAGCATCGGCGACGTGGCACCCAGCCACCATCCGTCCTAGGAGTACGCCATGACGGACGCTCCAGAATAGCCGCCAGGGGCAACGGAGTCCTCACGGACTCACGCCCCTCCGGGCCCTCATACGAAGACCTCCAAGCTCACACGTGAGCACGAGGAGGAACTACGACGACAGTGGCCGCATCAGCCACCAACTGCGCCAGCGCGCTCGGCGCGCTACACTGCGCCCCGTGTGCACGGATCGGCGAACGGCGCTCGGGGTCATTCCCGTCAGGTCCAGCGCAACACCCCGGATAGAGGGACCGATCCCCCACAGTTCGCTCGGGCCAGTCAGAACATTGTCGCCGCGACAATGCTCCTACGCAGCCTATCCGAGCCGAACGACCCTCGCGAACGGGCGATCCACCAGAACCTCTGGGCACTAGTGGAGACCGCCGCCATTCAACAAGCGGAATGCTCCGTGTCACGACGCCGACTCGCGACCTCGCTCCCTGTCTGGGGAACAGGGACGCAGCAGATGGGGCACTACACCCTGTCACCGCAACAACCGCTGAGCGCGACACATGAGGCCGTAGCGGCACCTCATCTCGACCTGACGACCGCTCCACACCAACCGCCTATCTACGCGCGGCTTGGACCGAGCCGAGGCACATGCAGCGGCGACCGGAGTCCCAGCACTAACGGCCCGGGACCACCGACCTTTGCCCAACTCCCCCAGCAAGCGCCGTTCTTACCACGCTCCAACGGAGGCCACGGCAAAGGTAAGGCCAATCGCCAGGATCAAGACAAGGGCCTCTCCACGCAGAGGGGAAAAAAGAACAAAAAGGATCATCGCCGACCGGCTAACACCGTGTCGGTCGCCGCGGCCGATCACCTGGGCACGCAGCCCTAGCAGGACCGATCGGGGCACTTCCACGAGCTCATGGAGAGCCCGTGCACCAACCACAACTACCCCGTCAACCATCTCTACAAGGACTGCCAGCTCCTCAAGCGCCTGCTGAGGTAGACTGGCAGGCCAAGGAATGAAAAAGGCAAAGAAGCAGCAACAGAAGAAGGGGGCGCATCGGGCGAGGATCCATACGACTGAAGCCTGAATTGATCCGACCGGACGCCTACCGACTGAAAGACAACGACGACGATGTTATCTCTGAATGCTTGGAACAGCTATGCCATTTTTTCCTTTCTCTAAGTTTCAGTCTTACCATTATTCACTAAACGTACGCTTCTATAAGAGCACCCCGACCCAAACACTTTTCGGCTTGGGGCGCTCGGGGGCTCCACTAGGGGACAATACTACCTCTCTGTTTTGTTCACTGTCGTATGGAGAAAACTCCTTCCCACCCAAACAGAAGGGCGGTTCGTTCTTTTTTATTTGCCTTACGTGGCTTTGCTTTAAAACTTTCCGACTGATCACACCCCGCCTTTCCCTACGGTTATGAGTAGCCGAGCCTCGCGGGCCACGCCCCGGGCTCACAAGGTTGCAGCCTATGGGACAAACGGGCAGGTACGAGAAAGAAAGAAGTAAAAAACAAAATTATGCTGAGGGAGAACTAAG